ATAGGAGTGGGGCAAAGATGATGATTTTACTCTGTGATTCAGTGACACAGGCCCCCTTGCTTTTCCACATACAAGACACTTTAGACTGTGGGTGTTTTCGCTGGCTGTTCCCTATCGCTGGAATGTTTCCTTCCTCATCTCTGACTCTTGCCTTCCCTGGCTTCCTTTAAGTCTCTGTTCAAATACCACCTTTTCCAAGAAGCCTCTCTTTATCTTGCTTAAAATGCTAATGCTTTCCCTCAGCAATTATCTCCAGTTTATTTTGTATATGTCTTATCTAATTAGTTGATTGAATGTTGTTTTCCCTATTACATTGTGACCTCCTAGGTGGTAAGGGCTGTTTTTGTCCCTCCCCCCCCTTTTTTTGTATCCCCAGCACTTAGCACAGTGCCTGAAACATACTAGGCACTCAGTAGTGCTTATTAACTTGGTTTTGCCAGGGTCACACAGGTAGTAAACATCACAGTGTGATTTCAGTCAGGTCCTCTGACTCCAAGAAATGGCACTTGTTCTACTGTACCAATCTGTCTCAACAATCAAGTGATAAGATCTGAAGATAGATTACTTGAGGCAGAGGTGTGTGTGTATGTGTGTGTGTGTGTGTGTGTGTGTGTATGTGTGACACAAGAAAAGAAAGGTGTTTTAGCTGGGGAAGGGAGGAGAGATATAGGACAGTTGCTTGACTGAATCTTAGAATCAAGTAAAGAATTTTTAAGGATGAGTAGTATTTTGGCAGTTTGTAAGCAGTAGGGAAGGTGCTGATGGATAAGAGGAGACTGAAAATTAGGGTAAGTTGATGATTGAAGGGACAAGCTTCGATAGTTGTCTTAGGAATAGGGATCTAGGGCACAAGGAAGCATTCAATCAGGGGTGGAGGTGGGGAAAGGGAAATAACTAGGACCAGGCTTTAACTAATAGCTACTCAGAGGCTGGAACTTTTTTTTTTTTAAGATAAAACTAGAAACAATCAAGCAACAATTGTTTATTAAGCGCCTGCTATATGCCAAGCACTATAGTAGACCTAGGGATATAAATACAAAAGTGAGACAGCTCCTGCCCTCAGGCGACTCAAACTTTGCTGGAGAGAGATCATATAGCCTAGTCTGATCCTCCCTTACCTTCCGCTTTGTAATTACACTTAATAAGTAATGATGAAACCTATCCTTCTGGATATGTTAGTCTATAACTAAGGAGTGGATATGTAGTCCTACTGCTTTCTCACCAGCCTCACCCATTCCCATTCATTACTTCATCTACCTAAAACTCTGCGTTGAGAATATAACAATAGTTATTCTCCCAATGTCCTAGCATTGTTTTACTAGTTCATGAACGGTATTACATCATGCATTTTGTGCCTTGCTGTTCAAGGTGATAAGGTATTTTTTGTTACATGTAGATCATTCTATGTATAGGAAAAAAATTTAGTGACCAAAAAGATGAAGCCATAAATTCATATTTAATTATGTTAAATTGTAAATGCATTCTGACCTATATTTATTTGAAATCCTAGATTAAATTATATTGTACAAAAGCCTAATGAAATCTGAAGGTGCAACAAGTGGGGGTTTTCATTTGAGGCAACTATAGGGAGCCAGTTTGGGTCGAGTTCATCATATCTTCTATTGTCCTAAAAGTCTGGCAGAGACTAGGAAAAATGGAAAAAAAAACATAATGAAACATCCCTGCACTTCCTCAGACTTTAATGTAGCCATTCAGAAGCAGATGCCAAATTACTTTTGGTAAATGGAGAAAGCAACTCTCTAAGATCATAAATTACTGAGCAGGTGCTAATCTGCCCTGAGAGAGGGAGTTTCCTTTGGGAGCTTCCTATATTAATGTACTCATATGTCTGATGCAAAAATGAACAAGGCATAGGACAAATGAGCCAGAGTCCCTGGGCATTCCTTCTCCTATTGTTAGATCTTCCCAACATTGCAGGTGTGATCTTTTCTAATTTTAGAAAAGCTGATGTGCAGCCTTCCATAACACCCAAATATTATCTCCTATCCTCAAAGTGTGAGAGGATCATTTGTTTTACATTTATACATGGATTTTTAAAAAAACAGCATTCTAGAATATTTTTACTTGCAGAGCTTTACAATTTTTCCTCCTGAAAGTTTGTACTGTTAAATAAAAAAAAAATTAAGAGACCACATATGTATGTACCCCAAGGAGGTCAAAGGTCCCACATATGCCAAAACACTTGTATCTGCATTTTTTTTGTGGTTGCAAAAAACAATCAGACTTAAAACAAAGTGATTGCCCATTGAGTTAATCAGAGAATAATTGAAAAAAATGTGATATATGAATTTAATGAGATGTTGCTTCACCATATGAAATGACAAATAAGAAGAATTTAGTGAAATGTGAAGCGCTTTTATTCACTGATAAAGAATGAAATAAGTAGGAACAGCAAAACATTACAAATGGCTGCCTTTCCCTCCACCCATGACTTCCAGAAATAATGCCTAATTTCTCCACCCTTGCCTTTCCACTTTTTGCTCTGAGAACAATAATCAAATCAACACTACTGTTCCTGGAAAAGACAGGTCAAACATTGCCCTATGGTTTCATCCACCATTCCCTCTGATTTCTTATGCAAAATACCCTGGCTAACACTCTTGCATTGTCTTCCCTTTTTAAAATACAAGTTCCTTGAGCACCAGAACTCTCTTTTTCACTTGTATTTTGATCCATATCAAAAAGCACAGTTCCTAGAATATAGTAACTTAATAAATGCTTCCTCCCATCCCTTTATCCATTCATGAACACAGTGCTAAAAGTCAGTTGAATTCAAATTAATTGCAATAACCAGTCTTGTTTTAAAGAACTGACAATGTAACATTTCCTCTCAAAAGAGAGGAGGGAGACTATGGGAGCAGAATGTTGCATATACCTTCAGGTGTAATTGGTTTTAATTAATTATTTTTCTTTATAATAAAAGAGAGTTTAGTGGGTAAGTATATATCAAGACATTATTCTGTTAAAAATAAAAAGGCTTCAACAAAACTTTTTTTTTAAAGTAAAGGGAATTAGATGGAAATTGCAGGTTTTATTTGTAGCCATTAAGATAAATTCATCAGTAGTTAGACCTTTACATACTTATTGACCCTTAAAAATTTTACCATCTTTTCTCATACCAAACACTGTCATAGAAATAATAAACTGAAATGAGCATCGGAGAATGCAACAGAATTACCTCTGCCCTGAAACAAAAGAGCCAGTGAGACTTATGAATGATATGGGAACTGACAAAGAAGCTGCTATGAACCTGGTAACAACTATATATACTAAATACTATGGTATTTCTTACCCTCTTCAACCATTTTATCAATCTATTGGCTAGGATCCTATCTCTTTTCAAATTATGTTATCCTAGACAAAATACTCCTCAACTTTTTTATCCTATCCTCATGAGGAATTCTTATGTCATCTTGATTATTTGGGTTTTATTTCTTTAGACTTTTTTTCTTAAAATTTTCTTTTTCTTATTGTGACCTAACAAATATTAGCATGAACATTTTAACATGCAAAGAACAGAAAAGAAGATTGTATGTGAAATTGTGAACTTTCTTTATGCAGCTTACTTTTTAAAATATATATATATAGAATTTCAAATTATGCTAACAAAAGTTTCTTGTTTCTCTCCATCCCCTTTTATACTTCCTCATGTTCTCTTTTGTGTATTTTAAAAATGTTTTATTGATGTTCTTTCCTTTAGACTTCTGAAGTCATTATTAATCATTACCTTGTTCAGAGTTCTGAAAACTTTCAAAATTGTTTTCATTGTAATTATTATGGTCATCATGCAATTGTTCTTCTATTTCTGCTTACTGTACATCAGTGCATATAACTCTTCCCAATTTTCTCCAAATCCATCACATTTTTCATGTCTTTCAACACAATAATATTCCTTTACAATTATATGCAAAAATTTGCATAGCCATTCTCCATTTGATGGCTACCCCTTTTGTTTATAATTCTTTGCTATAACAAAAAGTGCTGCTGGAAGAAGTTGTATACAGCTAGGATATATTTCTCTTTTATTGCCAGAACTGCACACAGGATTTTGGGTGCAAATGTCTGTAGTTTGGTACAAGAGGAGGGGAGGGGATGGTTTCTTGTTTTCTGTCCCAAGGGTGTTGAATATTAATTTGTTTGGCAATAGAAATGTCATGCTGGCTGTGTGGTCAAAGCTACAACTAGAGGATGGGGTAGTCATTGTATTGACCTGTGGTGCCAGCATGCTCTCCATTCCCGTGCATCCTTTTGTGTTTCTCTGGTAGTGCTGTAACATAACAAAACTGCCCCGATCCTTCTTCTGACTCTAGGCTATCATTTCCAGGGTCTGCATGCTTTAGTCCCCCTCCTCTAAGCCCTCAGTTGCTTCACCACTGTTACCTGTTCTGGGCTTAGGATAATTTTGATGAGTACCTTGATAGTGTATACTTGATATTCAAATACTAGAGGTACTTTTAGGTTATGCAACAGTTAATGAAAGGAGATTTACTTAACTATAGAAGGAAGGTACTCAACCAGTATAGGCTTTGAGGACACCTCAAGTGGATTCAGTTGAACAAGGCCCACCCTTTTCCACCAGCCAAGCACCAGACAGTTCCTGGAACTCCTGCTGACTACTTTATACCCAGGAGACCAGGAGTGATGTCACTAGCCTGAGCCTTTAGTCAGCTGACCCAGCCAATTCTTGAAGATGGCATTAGTACCTTTTAAGGGAAAAAAAAAACCACAACAAAACCTAACTTGCATGAAGGCAGGGGTGAAGATTTTACTCCTACCATAAAGCACTCCTCTGGCTACCTTTTCCCCTTCCCCCTTGGAGAGTTAGGGATTCTGTGGACTTATTTGGGAAGCTGCTTCTGTTCTGTAGCTCAGTAGACTTCATATGAAGAACAGCAGAACCATATAGGGATAGCAGTTAACAGAATTTTATTACTACTTGATAAAGTAAGAGAAGAACAGATGTTATCTGGAAGCAGTCTAGGTGTTTGGCCCCCATTGCTCCTGGCAAAGGAGAGTATACAGTAGGGTAGCGTTCAGACTCTGCTCAAAGGCCCATAGCCTTTCAGGACCAAGTTTATGTAGAGTTTTAGACAAAGAATCAGCATGGCACCAATAGAAGACTGTGTTTTTATCAATAGGGGAAGATAGCTGTATAGCTAGGGCCAAGTGTGAATAGGGTGTTTTCTAAATTGTTTAATATGGTGTAAGGAATGAGGGGCAGGGATCTAGGAAACTTAATTATAAGTGTGCCATCCAGCAAGAAGCTGGGAAGAGGAGAAATGTCCAGTTACTGGTTATTAACCTTACCATATGTGCATCCTGAGGGGCTGGGACCATAGCAGTCAAACCAGTTTTCACTGGTTCACTGACCTGAGTAGATTGTCCTCTGTGCTATACCCCCCACCCCCAGGATATAATTTGTCTAGGATCAAGAGCTGTTAGATATGGTACTGAGGATGGAAACAGATACGGTGCTGAGGATGGAAAAAGTGTTGCAGGATGCAAGAATCCTGGCTTCTAGTTCCCATACTACTTCTTTCTTCTGGTGTGACAGAGTAGGACTTAGTTGTCATGTCTGAAAAATAAAGTTAATAATACTTTAGCTCCCTAAAGGCATGATCTCTTGAGGTCCCTTCAAGCTTGAAGATCTATGATTTATAATACTGTTTTATATTTTATTTCAATATTTACTAACATTTTTACTTATTCAAAGTAATTTATTGGGGCCCTGGACTTACGGACCAATGCTAGTTTGTATGTTTGTCAGCAATAATTTTCCAGTTTCTCCACATCTGATATAATTTTTGAATACATATATTTGGGCACAAGCAGGAGATGAAAGCAATTCAAGCAGTATGTGAAGCTCAACTGGTAAGTTCTATTTTGTCCTCCCACATTTCTTATTTCTCAACCTTTTTTGATAGTTTTTAAAACTCTCATTCACTTGTACATATAAAATAACCACCACTTATGAGACACTACTTCTAAGTTATATCTTTTGCAATGTTGTCTAAATACAGTTAGAAATGTGTATTTGAACAAAGAGCTGCGGACCGATTTGGTTGTAAAAGGAAAAACAGAGCTAACCAAAAATGTAAGGGGCCTCCCTGGTAGGTATTCACCTAATTAGAGGTCTTTAAGCAAAGTATGGATGATGCTTTCTTGGGCTTCTTGCTCATGTATTGGTTGGGTGAGATGGCTTCTGAGAACGCTTTCAATTCTGAAATTCTATGATTCAATGAAAACCATGCGGTATGTCCTCATGACTATTGTTAGTTCACCCATTTGCCTATTTGGGATCTTCTATTTTTAAAAAAATTTCCATAGTGGCTATAATATTACTCCGGAGACTTCATTAGTAAAGGCAGATTTATAATTAGCATTTGCTGTTTCACCCTGAAAAGGATGAGTGTTTAATATACTCTCTTTTGTTAATTCAAAATGCTTCCATTAAATGTCCCAAAAACTTCCCTTGGTGCTCCTTAGCCTTGTTTGGCAGTAATCAGCTTGTGGGATTTAAAAGTAATCTTTTGGCTTTATAATGTGGGTATATCATTAATATTTTAATAACATAGTAGTTATTATTTGTTTTAGGGATTTTTTGGGGGGGTGGCAGTGAGGAGGTTGGCTAGAAACATTCTGCCTCCTTTGCAAAGCTTGAAATTTCTTCTCTTTGTTCATCTAACAACTTTATAATTGTTTTATTGTTTTACCTTGTCAGACTCCCATATTACAACCCCAAATTCTAAAGGGGGCCCCAAATTCCCTTTTTATACTTCCATTTTAAAATGCTTGATTCATTATAACTATGAGGATCTTCCCAAAGATAATAAACAAATTAGTGAAGTTTTATTTGGTTCCTAGAAGGTGGTGTTTTTTAAATAATTTGGAAACTTTTATCCCTTTTGCTTTAGTGGAGACAATTTCAAATTTCTGTGTTATTCTTTTATTCATTTCAGTTCAAAAGCATTTATTGAGTACAAGGCACTGTATTAGGTGCTGGGGATACAAAGAGTAAATTGAGAAACTGTCCTCAAGGATCTTGTGTTCTACTGGAAGGATACTAATATGTACACACAGCAAAATAATTTGAGGAAAAAGTGAATGATAACAACCAGGGCTGGGGTTAGGAAAGTATCCTATAGGAGGACAAGTTGGCCACCAAATATGCTCTGAGAGGTATGCTATTATTAAATATATTAGTTTATGTCTTCTAGATAATTTTAAATGAAATGGGTATTTGACTATAAAACACTGGCACTATTTATTATACTTCATCCAAAATAGGTGGGATTTTTCATTACTTGAAACATACAATATTATAACCAAATATAGAGGTATCATATTAAAGGAATGGTCTAAATAAGCAGAATTCAATGGGAGTAATAATTCCATAGCAGACTGTGCTATGTAGTCATAGAAGACTCTGGGTTTGCCAGAAGAGAGATTAAACATATAGAACTGCAATTCTCAAATGAGCCCTCAAAATACCAGGTATCACAGAAAGTCTTAGTGTAGTGTTAAGCTATTAAAGCTCACAATCTAAGCTATTAAAACTTAACACTTAAGACTTTTTTGGGATATCCTGCATAATCCTCATGGACCAGGAAGGCAGCATACTGTCTCTACTAAGGGATCCCAGTTTTCTACTCACTGCGGTTAGGCTTATGTCCTGGGGGAGCCTGGTTCCATAGAGGAGAATTGGGATCTTCTTCTACTCTCTAACTTATTATGTCTTCAGTGCTCAATAATGGCTTATGTCTCGGTTGTCCCCCAAAAAGATATTTATAGAGTACCTTCTAAAAAATACTCAAAGTTTACAAATTCCACAGCTCTTTATTTCCTCAAACAATAAAGAAACCGCTTAAAGCACAAAAGATTCATAAGCATATATTGACAAATACTTAAAATGTGAAACAGTAACCAGTATACCTATTTTTACTCTCATAGGAGGTTGATATATAAAACATTAAAACATGAAATACATTGTATCACAACAGTCATTTGATCTTTACCTCAGCTCTCTACTCCAAGCAACTAGACCAACTTTCTGTCGTTTGTTATGCAGATGCCTAAGTCTCATCTTACTAGTGGTGGTCATCTGCTTATTAGTGGTTTCAGAGGTTGCCTCCTTTTGGGCAACCAGACTGTATCCAGGAGTTCCTGGCCTCTAACGCTCAAGAGTTTCTCAGCAAGGGAAGAAACATGCGTCTCAGGCTCCTTATTTAGTCCATTGTGCTCAGGAAATGAATACAATGCTTAAGAAGAGGCTAGGGCTTTGATATCTGGTCTTCAACTCACATAGACCATTTCTTACTGCCAAATGTGAGCAATTATTAAAGCTGTCAGGCTGGAGGGGAGAAATACCCTCTTCCTGATCCTAGATGGAAATCCAAAGATGATTTCCAGTATGCTCAGCAGATGAAAAGACAGACATGAATTGAAAGTAGTTGTTAGGGAAAACATTGTATCGTAGAATACAAGAGACCAAGTATTTATGTATAGTTGTGTGCTTTAACACTGTTGGCACATAGTAGTTGCTCAGAAAACGTTAACTAAATTAATTCAGTTGATCCTACCAAATACTGGTGAGACTACAACTTAAGTATCTAGTCTTAGGCAACATACTGAAAGAAACATTTGCTTACCTTAGAGAATGATAGCAGAAAAGTGACTAGAGCACTAGAAGAAAATGACTTAGAAATAGAACACATTTAGTTTAAGAGAAGAGATCTTGGAAAGTGAAAAAAGATAGTAGTCACCTTAGACATTTAAAAAAGTAGTTAAGAATAGTAGGCAATTTTCTTGTGGTATCAGAACTGAAGAAAAGATTAGTAGTGGTGGTGGTGGTGGTAGTAGTAGTAGTAGTAGCAGTAGTAATACTTATACATAAATTGTTTCATTTGATCTCCCCAACAAAACTGTGAGGTAGATAGTGAGAATATTTATATCCCCAGATAAGGAAGCTGAACGTCAAACTTAGTCTTTCTATCTTATAGTCATATGTTCTGCCCATTATGACAAGTTGCCTCATTAATTCAGGCAACAAAAAGGATGTACCCTAGGGCAAAAATAGATTTTTAGCAGATCAATTAAAATCTATCAGAAATAAGAATATCGATAGCTTTGATTTCTTTGCTGAAAACTGCCTGTTTATATCCTTTGACAATTTGTCAATTGGGGAATGACTTGTGTTCTTATAAATTTGACTCAGTTCTCTATATATTTGAGCTTTATCAGAGATATTTGCTGCAAATTCCCCCCACCCCCAGTTTTCTGCTTTCCTTCTAATTTTGGTCACATTGGTTTTGTGTGTGTGTGTGTGTGTTGTGTGTGTGTGTGTGTGTCCATGTGCAAAACCTTTTTAATTCCATAGAATCAAAATTAGCTAATTTACATTTCATAATGCTCTCTATATCTTGTTTGGTCCTAAACTCTTCTTTCATCCTTAGACCTGACAGGTAAACTCTTAATCTAAAATCTCTAGATTGTATGCCTTTACTGTCTAGGAGAGACTTCAACCAGATGACAGTTTTCACAGACACTAACATAGTGCTTTTGCTCATTGCAGCTGCTTAATATATGTTAATTTGAATTTAGCCTATTTAATTCTGACTGCATGTGTTCATTTGCTTAAAAAATACAGAGTGAAATTTTTCCTTAGTTCTGTTTGTGTAATTCACATTAACTTTTTTTTGGGAGCAGTTTCCTATTGAGACTACTGTGTGACTTTATATATTAGCCTCTAACTCACCCATTCAACTTCTCCTTAATAGTTGATTTGGAAAAGACATAGTATTTGAAAGGCCAAATAGGTGTGCCTCACTTTAAAAGAAAATCAGTTTTTTAAAAAGGAAGTTATTTAAGGGGGATTGGTTATTCACTGTACAAAAAGGCTCACCACAAGTTTCCTTTATTTGGTGGGCTTTCCTAGTGTGTTGAAAGTATGGTTATTACATGCAATTCTCCTGGAATACAGTTAAATCAAAGAAAGTGTATGTGTCAGGGTTCCCAACAAATAAGTCACATTCGTTTCTGTCACTAGATTTTAAAAAAATAGACTAACTGCATTTACCACAGTGATTATCATTGGCTTTTTGTAAGATGGAGTTTATAATGTTTTGTAAAGGTTATAAGTAAATAGAACTTACCCTCCAGAACTATTGTTTGTTTATAGGACATTTTCTCCATTGTAGTTCTCTTTTTTGTTTTTCCTCTGAGGTGGGCATCAGTAGAAAACACATAACCCAAAACTAGTACTGCTATTAAGAATTTACCTGGCTCTTTGAGTTTGTACAATGTGATTACATTCATTTATTATTTAATCCTCACAACTTCCCTGTGAGGCAAACTTACATTATCTCCATTTTCATAGGGATCAAATGACTTGCTAAAAGACATAGAGGAAATTAGTAATGAATGAAGAATTAGAAGTCACAGAATCACAGAATTTTAAATGTTGGAAGGGACTTCTAGCTCAACCCATAGCTTAAAAAAACTACAACTATATCTGACAAGTAGTTTTCTAGTTTCTGCTTAAAGTTGTTTTCAGTTTATTTGTAATTTGTTGGCCAC